GGATCAATTTAAATCTTTCCAAAGCCTGTTGGCAGATTCGAAAGAACATCACGGCTTGTGAAGCGCGATTTCAACGCTTCAATTTGCTCCGGTTCCAAAACATTCCTGCAAGACGTCACACGTATCTCGAATGTTGACAACACGTGGGCAACGCTCTTAACATAAGCCAATCATATTTTTGCGTTGTGAGAGCAACGCATAATTCAATCTCTTGGGCTTAGGCGGTAGTCCCTCCTTTCGCGCGCTTCTCGTCTCCAGGTTTTCGCGCGGCCATTTTTTTCTCGCCGTTTTCTTTCGCGTCACGCACGATGGAGCAAGCGAAAAAGGGACTACTCGTAGTCCTATTAGCTTTCTTGATGGATTTTTTCTTAAGGATTAGAGTAGGAAAAGAAAAACTCAAGATTGCTGTTTGTCAAAAACGTTAGTTATCCTTAAACTCCAACTGACACAGTGTAGCGTCGCTGAATTCAGTGAAGTATTTTTTCATTGAAAATCAAACATCTTCATGATCAAACGGTAACTTGGCGTAACGTACTGTTGGGTAAAACGTCTACACTTCAGCAAATGAAGCCCAGTGCTTTATCTAAGGAATGCTGAAGGAGCGATGCATATAAGTCCATTCGTCTTCCTAGGTTTAGAAAAACATTCTAACTTGCTTGGATTAGAAAAAGGTAAAATAGAGCAATTTTCTTTCCTAAACAAACCACGTTCTAGCAAAAGATGTAGCCTCAATAAAACCAATTTCTGAACAAGTTACGACTGCAAGTACTGCGCTCGCGAGATCACAAGCGTTCACTACCTTCAATTGTAATTGCCCTTAGCGGTCCCTTATCTGGATCCTCAGATAACAGCTAAAATTTTAACACCTGGTAAAATCCTTGGAAAAAATTAACTTATTTTCGATATTGGTCAAAAGGGCCAGAATTCTTTGGTGAAAGACCGATGATCGTCGGTAATTTTGGGCCGGGTGCACTCTGATTGGTTAATCCATCGTCTACTATTTGCCCATGGGTGTACGCTGCTGACGCCGCGTGCGCTAATGTGATGTAGCTCAATAAAAGGACTTCTTTTCCTCCAATGTGTCAAGGTTATGTTATAAACCAAATGGTAAACGCCACAGCGTACAGTCACTATTGAGTTATGGATGCACCTGGGAAGTTTGCTAAGCACTCAAGAAGCTAGATTCGCACTTGGCTATCGCTTCCTCCGTGCAACTCTTACGCTTCTTTCGTGCTTAGCAGCCTCCCACGTGCATCCATAACTCAATAGTGTACGCTATGGCGCTTACCATTTGTTAAGTTATCCCATTGCGCTATGAATGGAGCGTGACACGGAGTGATAGGTTTATTGTTCACAATAAAAATCATTTGGGGACTGCAAAGGAGTGTGAGCGGTCTAGGAGAACCCGGCAATCGCGGCTTCACATGTTGATTGGACAAAAAGTGACAGAAGTAATTGTTCACGCAAGACCGAACATTACCTCCCGTTTTACCCATAGCGAAAATAATTAAAATGGCGACGAGCAGAGATGCACCCGGGCTAGGCGGGTATGATTACGAGTTTACAAGTAAAGTTCCCGAGGATTGGCAATGCCTTGTTTGCCAGCTAACATTGAAAGATCCTGTGCAGATTGTGGGATGTGGACACAGACTTTGTAGCATCTCTATGGAATCCCTGTTGAGGTAAACGATTAGTTTTGCATAATCCAAGCATCGTTTGAAACAGGGCATATCTATCCGGTGTATGCCATGCTTCAAGTGACTTCATTTATATGATTGAAAACTTAACAAATATATCGCTTAAGCTGAGGATCGATTTATTTTACATTCAGTGTGCTTTACGTTCCCACCAATACACAGAGTCGTTCAAGAGAAAATTTAATTTGAATTTGAATGTTTAATTAATTAAGAACATCGAGTCTTGTCTGAAAACGAAACAACGCCCGAAGCGACCGAAACGAAACCGCAGAAACAACTAAAACGGAAAAAAAACCACGAAGTCACCGAAATAAGTAAATCCGTTATCATTGTTGAGAGCTAACCGTAAACAGACTAACCTGAGTGTTATTCATGCCATTTAACAAGAGTGCAAGCAGACTGTGGACACATTTACTGTGCGTTCCGCGCAGTGACTTTATGCCCGGCNATCCATAACTCAATAGTGTACGCTATGGCGTTTACCATTTGTTAAATTATCTCATTGCGCTATGAATAGAGCGTGACACGGAGTGATAGGTTTATTGTTCACAATAAAAATCATTTGGGGGCCGTAAAGGAGTGTGAGCGGTCTAGGAGAACCCGGCAATCGCGGCTTCACATGTTGATTGGACAAAGAGTGACAGAAGTAATTGTTCACGCAAGACCGAACATTACTTC